AAACAAAAAGAAAGTGGCAGGATGGGCGTTTGGCTCCTTCCTCCCTTTCTCTCAGCTCCTTTTTCTTCACTCAAACAAAACATTTTGAGTTGGGGAAGAAAAAACCAAAACCCAACCCAAGCCACCAACCCCAAACAGCTCCAGTCAGGAGAATTTCTGTCAAATTCTATTTGCCTGACCTGAACTCAGGATGTTTTCCCGAGGTTGACAGTTGGATCTGCTGATCCTTTGGGCTTTTCCAACCCCAGTGAGTCTCTGACTCTCTTGTCCCTGCAGAGGCAGTCACGGGATCAATCTGGGGCCTGTCTCAGCAGGGTGTGTGGGCACCTCCCCCCTGTAAGGCCATTTTAAAGTGCTCTGTACAGCGGGGAGCTGCTGAGCCAGCCCCGTGCTCAGGGGTGGCCGAGAGCAGGGGGCTGGAGGTGGGATGGGCTCGGTGGGGTCTCCTCTCCATTGGCCAGCACTTCACCCCAGCCAGGACTTTCTCTAAAGCACTGGGCAGGATCTCTCTGCTGCCGGGAGGTCCCGGGGTGCCCCAGCCCCAGCAGCAACTCAGGAAACTCAGTTCAGTCTTTCCTGACTTCTGCCATAGGGGTGGTGGGACTGCGGCAGCCTCAGGGCCCCAGCAGCACCCCGAGGGGGGAACCCCTCTGCTGGGAGCCCAGCAGGAGAGAGTTGGGCTGGGGCAGCTGAGAGGAGAAGGCTCCAGCTGGGGAGACCTGCTGGGGGCTGCCAGGACTGCCAGGGGCCTGCCAGAAAGCTGGGGGGGACTTTTGAGCAGAGTCTGTTGGGACAGGACAAGGAGTGATGGGTTTAAACTAAAAGAGGGAGATTTAGACTAGAGAGTAGAGATATTTTTGCTGCTGAGGGTGGTGAGTCCCTGTCCCAGGCTGGCCAGAGAGGTGGTCGCTGCCCCATCCCTGGAACCATCCCAGGGGAGGTTGAACAGGGCTCTGAGCCCCCTGCTCTAGCTGCAGATGTCCCTGTCCCTGCAGGGGTTGGACTGGGTGACTTTGAAAGGTCCCTTCCCACCCAAACCAGTCTGGGATTCTGTGCAGCCTCTCAGCAAGGACCCAGTCACCAAGCAGGGAGACAGTGATGCCAAGAAGTGGCTCTCACACCGTGGCACATGGAATCTTCCCCCTCCCCAGCAGCTGCCCAGCCCCACTCCTCTCAGGACAGACCACCCAAGGGCTGTTACTGGTGGTATTAAGGATTTATTTATAGGGCTGGGGGTCGGGGCTCTACCTGAACATCACGTGCAGAGAGGAAACCAGTTGGGGTTTATAAACATTGCTTCCAAAGGCCACATCACCTCACAGGTGAGCTCCAGACACAGCACTCTGCCTGGTGGGGACCTTGGGTGAAACACCAGTGGCTGTACAACCACCTCCCTGCCCAAACCTTGCTTGGGTTTTGTTCAGAGCATTGTAAACACACCCAAAACCCTTTCCAGACGTGTGCCTAGCTCGGCTCCCACGAGGTGTGCTGTCGGGGTGTGACACTTCCCTCCCCTACAGCAACAGCTCTGTGAAGATCTCCAGGTGCCTGGTGGACCTGGCAGCCTGTGCCAGAGCAGCTGCTTCCCCTACAGCCCTCGAAGCAAAGTCCAGGTGAAATCCCCACGTGGCTCCACCGCACGGAGAGGTACAACCAAGACTGTCGCTGTGAGTCCTCTGTGCCCCAGGACAGGGGAGCCTGGGGAGCCTCGGGCTTCATCCTAACCTCTTCCCAAGTGACTGAATCACTCCTGTCCAAATTACTTTTAACAACCGATTCTTAATTAAAGGCAAAAATTACATCAGTGAAACAACCTGTCCTGTGGTGCCCGTGCAAAGCGCCGCTATTATCTCCGGGCTGAAAGGCTCCGATTATCTGAGGGAAATCTGAGCTGTTCCTCATTTCCCTGGTCTCCAGCAGAGCCCTTATCTCCTACCACGGGTTTCAGCTGCTAGTGGGACTTTGCTTTGGTTGCCTTCCTCGTCCTGCCCTTCTTGCAGCAGCACCTGCGGCAGCAGCAGAGGCAGCACTTGATGGAGATGAAGAGGGAGAGGAGGAGCACGGCGAGGAGGAAGGCGATGACGTCCAGGGAGTGGTACTGGATCCAGTTCAGGTCGTGAGCAGCAGGTCGCAGGTGTGGAGCCCCTTTGTGTCTCATGACAAACTCCACCCAGTGCACTGCCAGGTCCAGGGGGTGGATGGGTCTGTCCAGGTGAAGGTCTGAGAGGCGCTTGATGTTCTCCTTGTACCTGGAGAGAGAAGGTGTTGGGTGTTTTCAGTGACCTGTGCTGCTGAGACCGAGCCCCCAGGAACAAAGGGATGCAGTGGCTGGTGGCTGGTGGCCCACTGGGGGTTTCTGTGGTGGAGTTTCACCCACCCCCCCCATGAGAAGGCTAATGGCAAAGCTGTGGGCCAAGAAAACCAAGAAAAGGGTTGTTTTCATTGACCAAAAAAAGAAAAAGAGGGAAAGGGATGAGAAAAGGAGAAGATGAAAAAGTTTAGCTTGAGCTGCCAGCAAAACCTCTGGAGTGAAGGGATGTGGCTGAAATGGGTGTAGGACAGGCAGCCAACTCCTCAGGCCCCAGCTCCACTGTTATTACTGTTATTATTACTGCTATTATTGCTCTTGCTGTAAGAGCAGCAGTTGGGAATCGATGCCAATAAGGTGCCACCTCCCAGAAACATGATGGGGAAGGGGATGCCAAGGACTGACAGCAGAGCCCAGGAGCAGGGAGGAGGGGGTAGATCTCCAGGGGCTGGACCAGGCTAAGCCAGGGCAAGCAGCAGCTTCCCAGGGCTGCAACTTTGACACAGGGTGTGTGAGAAGAGCCGAGTGTCCTGTGAAGCTGAATATTACTCAAGGAGAAAGGCCGTGTGGGTGCCACTGACTTTTTGTCGTTGATAACTGCTTTCAGGGCAGTGGAGATGTCCTCTGAGGTCATTTCCAGGATGTTCAGGGTCAGTCCTGCCCCTCGGGACTCCACTCTCTTGGCGTTGTCCATCTGGTCCCCGAAGAGCGGCATGAGCAGCATGGGCACCGCATTGCAGATGCCCTCGTAGACCCCGTGGGACCCACCGTGGGTGATGAAGGCACGAGCCTTTGGGTGAGCTGTGGGGGAAGGCAAGGCTCCTTAGCTGCTTGATTCAAGCCACAGTAACACACCCCTGGGGAAAAAAAACCTGCCCAAAAATGGCTCTGGTAGGTAAAAATCGCGAACTTTGGGCTGTCGTGGGTGTTGTTGTTTCTGGACAGCCCCAGGGCTGCATGGAACAGGATGTTACAGGGGGTTGCATGGAGGTTGTAGAGCTCTGTCTTGGCTTGGGTGACCTCTGGAAAGCCTTGGACAATCCTCCAGAGCTGCTCAGGTTTTAGGGTGAAATCAGAGCCGAGTGAGGTTTCAGAGGATTGTTGCCATTGCTTTTGAACCATTTGCTGGTTTTGCAGGTCTCCCACGGCCAAGCCCTGCTGCCCAACCAACACACACACTCCTGGCAGCAGCACTGACACTGGTACCACTGGAAAAGCCCAGTGGCCTGTCTCAAAATGCTCTTTCGGGGAGCTTGAGTTTTCTTTTCAGGCCAGTAGACAAAACCACGGTGAAAACACGTGGCTGGGTGTTGAGCCTGGCTAGTCAGAGATAGACTCCCATTTCTGAGAGCAGAGGTGGTCAGGTGCTGGAACACCTTTCCAAGCACTGTCATTTCTTAATTCCACATAATTTTGGGTTGCCATCAGACAAGTTTTTAAAAGTGGAGCTGTGGTTTGAACAGCAAAGGCTGTCAGGACATCCTGCAACCCACAGGGGTACAGGGGGTCAGCAGAGATGATGCTGATGGGGCCTCACAACAGGAGCATCAGATTAAAAGAAAGATGTTGGTGTCACTGCAGGGGTCTCAGACCTACCCAGGAGATCTTTTTGTGGCAGCCACTTGACGAGCTTCACGTTCTTTGGCAGGTTGGGGGGTGCCTCTCCTGTGTACCTCCAGAAAACCTGTGGAGAGAAGGGGCCACGGCGTCAGCTCTCAGCAGCCAGCTCAGCTGGGTGTGAGGGACACGGCTGAGAACTGGGGTGCTCAAAACCCCTTTCACCAGGCAGAGCAGCCAAGGTGAGAGTTCCCTCCAGCAGCAGGGAGCAGGAGGAGGGAGGGAGGAGGAAGCAGGCTGGGAGCTGAAGGAAAGACGTGCTGTGTTTGAAGCCCTGAGTGGGATGGGTGGGTTTGAAGCCCTGAGGGGGGGAGCTGGGAGGGGAGGGGGGGACTGTACCGTTTGGGGCACTGATCCCAAGGCCTTCACGATTTCTGTGGCTTTCTTCATGGGGATCTCAGAGACCATGGAGCCCAGCGAGAAGACGACGATGCCGTGCTCTCCAGAGGCGTTCACCATGGCTTCGAATTCCTGCCAAGACAAAGCCCACCCTCAGTCAGGTCCTCTCCACACCAGGAGCTGCCACTGCTGCCCTGGCCTCACAGAGCTGCCTGGAAAGGCAACAGGATGAACAGTGAGCACAAAGTGACAGGATCCTAGAACCTCCTTCGAGCACCGGTGACTCTGCACCAAAAAAGATGCACCACCCGTTAAGGAGATCAGTTTATCACCAGACTTCTCCTGGCAGCCAGTCCCCAGGTGGGTTTTTTGTTGCACTTACTGCCAGTCAGATGCTCTGGCTTTAGAGGTGATGTTTCTCCTTTCAAACCATGCAGCTGCGAGAGAGAATTGAGGTCTTGAAAGTGTTCTGACAGCAGAGAGCTCACGTCTCTAATATCTGGATTTCTTTGGTCTCCTTTGAGTATGAGAATATTGAACCACTGCTATTTTTTTATGGTTTTTTTTGTTTTTGTTTTTTTTTAAATTTGATTTAAAGAAAAGAAGGGCTAAGATGTCTGACTGAAATCCAAGAACAAAAGGATTCCAGGGGAGCATAAAAGGAGATGAAGGTTGGAGCAAGAATCCTGTGCCATGAAAAAATATTTGGTGAAGGCAGGGAAGGAAAGACAAAACTGGAGGGAATTGCTGCGGGCATCAGAGTGAAATGAGTGGAACATAATGAACCAAAAGTTCTCCTAAGTCTGGCAATTGAACTGTTATCTGTAGGGTCTGAAGGGATAATGGAGATGGATGAACTTTACAGACAGAACAGCATGGTTGGGCTGGAAGAGACCTCTGGAGATCATCTCCTCCAACCCCCCTGCTCCAGCAGCTCACCCACAGCAGCTCACCCAGGGTCACAGCCAGGCAGGTTTGGGATCTCTCCAGAGCAGGAGACTCCACAGCCTCTCTGGGCAGCTGCTCCAGGCTCTGCACCCTCACACCAAAGAAGTTTCTCCTCCTGCTCAGGTGGCACCTCCTGGGTTCCAGCTGGTGCCCGTTGCCCCTTGTCCTGTTGCTGGGCACCACTGACAGAGTCTGGCCCCAGCCTCTTGCCCCCACCCTTTACATATTGATGAACATTGATCAGATCCCCTCTGAGTCTTCTCCAAGCTGCCCAGCCCCAGGGCTCTCAGCCTGTCCTGGCACAGAGATGCTCCAGCCCCTCAGCATCTCCACAGCCTCACCTGGACTCTCTCCTTGTCTCTTGAACTGGGGAGCCCAGCACTGGACACAGCACTGCAGATGTGGCCTCCCTAGGGCAGAGTAGATGGGCAGAAGAACCCAAGAGTGGGAGACTCTCCACGGCACAAGGGAGGCAGAGATGCAAAGTGCTCTCCTCGCCCCTTCCACCTCCCTCTTCTCCTGCCGTTGTTCGTCCTGCCGGGAGCTCCATCTGATGGAGAGAACCAAGAGTGCAGCCCTGGCCCAGCCAGGGGAAGAGGTGACCAACCTGGGACAAGGCTTTCTCCCTCGTGCAGCTTATCCCCCCGACCAGGACCATGTTGGGCATGAGGGGCCTGGGGTACTCGAACACAAAGTCGTACTTGGTGAGCCAGACGGCGGCGCGGCCGAGCAGCTCCGGCACCGTGGCCTCTCGCCGCAGGAACTCCCGGATCAGGGGAGTGTAGGGTGAGTAGAGCAGGCTGCAGGCCAGGGAGCTGCTCAGCCCCACCAGGAGGTTGCCCAGGCGCTGGGGGAAGGCCATGTGCTGCGTGTAGCTGGTGAAGGACCTGGGCACGTAGGAAGGGGGGCTGGGGCAGCGCGCGGCGTGGAGGTCCAGGCCGCACGGCAGCCCCCGCGCCAGGTACACGCTGGGCAGGGACAGGTGTTCAGCCACGATCTGCCCACAGGGGAAAAAGGGATCCATCAAGACAGCGTCAAATTCGCTTTCTTCGAGGTGCACGATCAGCTCCTTGTTGGAGAGAAGGCGCCTGCAGGACTCGAGGAACATGGCTGTGATGTTTGCCATCTTGGAGAGTTTTTCCGAGAAGGGCTGAGGGGTGAAACTCCTGTAGCCCAGCTTCTTAAATTCTGCCTCCACGTCCTCCCTGCTGTAAGGCACGGAGTAGGTTCTCATGGTGTAGTGCACCGATGGGGCCATCCTCAGGTTCACCTCTGGAGCGAGCACCAGGATTTCGTGCCCCCTCTGCCCCAGCCTCTCCACCAGCAGGCGCATGCTCAGCCAGTGGCTGGCGG